TGGGTTGGCATCTGTGGTCATTTAACACTGGGAATACTTTGGTCCAGGCTCTTCTGGCTTTCATAGTTTGCATTGAAAAGTCAGCTGTAATCCTAGTGGGTTTTCCTTTATATGTGACTTGTTGTTTCTCTTTTGCAGCTTTCAGTCTCTTTGTTTTTTACGTTTAGTGTTTGTCCTGTGATGTGCCGTGGAGAGTTTCTTTTTTGGTCTATCTCTCCAGGATAGATTTTGGCCTCAGGAATTTGGGGGTTAGACTGGCCTGACAGCTGGGCCCAGGAAAGATGCTGGTTTAGGGCAGCTGCTGGCCATGCCTCCCAGCGATGTAAAGAAAGATGGGGGCGGGAGGCAGCTCCAAGGGTCCCTGGGGACTGCACTGAGGAGCTGGGTTTGTCTGGATGCAAAGGACCAGGAAGAGGAAAGGTAAGCCCAGGGGTCCAGGAAAGAGGCTGGTGGGTTGTGCAGACCCAGGGAGGCAGAAGACGGTGAGCTTGGGTCCAGGCCCAGAGTGCCCCTGGGGACCAGAGAAGGAACTGAGTTGGTCTGGATGCACAGGATCAGGAAGAAGCAGTGATGGTTCCCCAGGTGTCTGGGGCGCCAAGACAAGGAATGGGACAGGGCCCAGGCTAGGAGAGACTGGTAGGGGAGATGGTAGGGTGAGTGTGGCTGGGGGAGTCAGGGATGGGAAGGCCCAATAGACTTACTCCAGAGAGAGAAGCCTGAGGGTAGGAGAGAGGCCTGTGGGACCTGCAGGCCCAGGAAACAGAGGGAGGTGAGCTCGGGGCCAGGCCCAGAAGGTGTGCTCCTGGGGACCTGAGAAAGAACTGAGTTGGTCTGGATGCACAGGATCAGGAAGAAGCAGTGGTGGTTCCCCAGGTGTCTGGGGCGCCAAGACAAGGAATGGGACAGGGCCCAGGCTAGGAGGAGAGACTGGCAGGGGTGGGGAAGTGGTGAGTGAGGCTGGGGGAATCAAGGCAAGGAGGGCAAGATCGACTGGAGATCTCTGGAGAGAGAGGCCTGCAGGTCAGAGAGAGAGGCCTGTGGGTCTGGTAGGCCCAGGGAAGCAGGGCCGAAATTAAAGTTTTGATCTGGCATCCCAAACAGTGCTTTATTTCTGAATAAATCAATCAAATCTTTTTTTCAATTTAACTTGGTAGTACCAATAATTGAGGGTTGTTTAAATGTCTTCATCTTGACATTTAATGTTCAGAAGTCTAATTGCCAGGTGTTCTAAAAAGAAACTCAGAAGACTCTTGATGTTTTCCTGAGGATAGTGTAGTCTTCGCTGGCATTTCAAAAGTAAATATAGCCTTTTCTGTAGTAAATATCAAAATAGAACAAATGTGAAATTGTGTTTTATTACCCAAAGATTTTATAAAATTTAGGTAATAAAATATGTATTTGGCACTAACAAGGAATGAGTTTCTCTAAGGTAAAGATGAATTGTCTAGATGAATGTTTTATATTAAATACAAAAACTATATTTAAAACCCTGCCAACAGTCTTATTAAAGTTTTTTATTTGCCCAGTGTAATACCTAGATCATCCTGAGGAGAAAGCTACATTGTGTTGATGTTGTATCTCATCAGTGTGAGCATCACTTGCCATACTGTATATTTCTACAGCTGTACCCTTAGGGGAATTTGAAGTAATTGGCACTACAGTAAGTTGCTTCAGCCTACTCCTAAAATGTTTATTCTGATGCAGTGGGTTTCTTTGTAGTCTTTGTACTACTAATAAACCACTGGCTATTGCTTCTTACCACTGACAGTGTGTCTTCCCACAGCAGTTCTCCTTTTTGTCCCAACTTTCTTGTCTACAAAGTTTTAATCTTAATTTGAAGTCTTGTTTGTAACAAGAATATATAGTCTTTATAGTCTTTTTTTGTAAATTAAGATTTATATAGTACTTATTCCTTATGGGGGCTGGAGGTGGGGAGGAAAAGAAAACATTTTCCCCTCTGGGTGCTGAGCTTTGTGCCTGGTAGGCAAGCACTGTGCCACTAAGCTACATTCATAGCCCTTATGATGCCCAGTCTTTTCTCAGGAATCTTTTCTTTTTTCTTTAAATTTGTTTTTATTGAATCTTTGTGTATTTCATACAGAACATCTCAGTCAGTCTTAATCATCTTCATACCCCCATCCCCACTGGTACCCTCTCATAGCCTCCCACACTGGAATTCATACATTCTGTCATTGTGTTAAGGTATATTGTGTCAAGTTAGTGTCCCCAGACATTCCTCAGTGCAAGTTCATCTACTAAGGTCTGGTCAGCCTATCTAAAGTCACTTGCTTAGGAAGATCAGCTCTTTCTCACTGAGCAGCAATCAGTTGCCAATATTTCTTCAGCTAAGATTGGGGTCTGCTGTTCATTTCCCCAGTTCTATCCTGGGTTTTTGTCTGCTCAAGTTTGCATGGAACTCGTGTATGCTGACGCCTTTGCTGTAGATTGCTCAGGAACCTTAAACATCTTGTTTCTTTTAGGCAGTTGTCTATGCTAGATAATAGTGTCTCACTTCTTCTGTTTTAGTTTCATCAACTTGGTCTCTTTATTTTTTAAGACCCCCACACACACATAGTAGTTGTATGATCTCTTTAGGATCATACAAATCAAAATGCAAATTAATTGTGCTTTTTATTTGATGTGCTTCGTTTTCACTTACTTAGAAAACTTGTTATTTTAGTCACCTTACTTGATTCTGTGGTTAGTCTTGACTTTTGGCTGGACTGCACTGAGAAGCATGTAGGTTAGTGAAGTACATCTCTTGGTGTGTCTGGAGGACATCTCCAGAGAGGAGTAAATAAGGGCAGAAGCCCCACCCTGAATGTGAAAGGTGCAAACTGATAGGCTAAGGTTGACTAAAGGAGGAAAAGGAGAAAGCCAGCTAACATGGGCTTTCTCTTAATATGCTTTCTGACCCCGTGATATGAGCTGCTCTGCTCTGACACACCCTCTCCTGTATGGTAGACTGGAGCAGTGAGCCAAAACAGATCTTTCCTCCTTTACGTTGTTTACTATAGCATTCCCACTTTGAAGAATAGATAAAGCCCCTTGAAGAAAATGTTTCAAAGAATCATTTCCTGGCAGGCATGGTGGTGCATGCCTTTAATCCAAGCACTCGGGAGGCAGAGACAGGTGGATCTCTGTGAGTTCAAGGCCAGCTG